CGCCGCGCCGCCCCAGACCAGGCCAGCAGAGCGCCGAGCGCCCAGCAGCGTCACGCGGGCGGAAGCGGGCGCCACCGTGACGCGCAGGGCGGAAGTGGCGCGACGGGGCCCCGTCGGGCTTCCGTCGAGACCCCCGGGGGGTGGGGCGGTTGAGGGCGGGCCGCCCCACTTCCTGTGCCAGGACCGGGGGCCAAGGGGGTGGCGCGGGTACGCGCAGCTCAGCGGTGCCAACGAGGCCTTTCCTCTGCTGCAGGCGTCCGTCACACGCCGGGCCCGGGCAAAGGCCCGAAGAGCGGCAGCCCGCGCCAAGCAGCCCCGGAGCACGGAGGGGCTGACAGGGCAACGTCAAGAGCCAGGGGCACGGCTGGTCAGCAAGAGGCGATCGTCTCCAACACCCGCTCAGCCTTCCTACGGGCAGACGCCCACAAGCGGTCACCTCGGTCCACGCGGCCACCTCGGCGAGGGGTCTGGCTAACCTGGCAAGTCCCACCGTTAGTCACAGGGCTCCTCAGTGAGGAGACAGCTTTATTAATCACTGTGCACAAATCCAGAGAAGTAGGTTTGAAACTGGCACTCTACAACAGGACATGGGGCAGGCTGCGTGGTACCAGTTGGGAGGTGTCTGACCAGGAGTCCAGAAATACTGCCTTCCCCAGGAGGAGCCATTTTTAACACAGCAGAAACCCAAGTGCACAGGTGAAGTGCCCAGATACACGGCTGCAGTCTCCAGGAGGATCCCAGGTCATGCTGAGGAGGAACCCCTCTGACACTGAGAGGGGAGGAGAGGGGAAAACCAGGGCTGTGCGCTCCATGAGGTCCTTAGCATGGGACTGTCTGTGCCCCATTGCTTCTGCAGCAGCACCAAGGGCTGGTTCAGAAAGTGTTTAGTAGCTACCACACTACTAGGCTTTAATAGCCCTGCCTAAAGACAGTTGGCATCTCTGCAAGCTATTGCTTCCTTATGAGCAATCCACAGAGACTGTTTAGCAGGACAGCTAAAGGTGCAAATGCTCTGCTTAGAGCCCAAGAACAAGGTGGTCAGGTCCTCTGGACACAGGGTTTGTGGGCTGAGACACCAGTGCCCTCAGCAGCCCTGCTGCTGGGTGTCTGGGACCATGGCAGAGCTATGTTCCCTGAAAGGAAGCCCAACCTCGCACAAATGTACGGTGCTGCCATCCAGCCACCTGCCCAAGACCTGCACAAGGTCTGCTGAGGATGGGGGTGGGGAGCCAGGATGGTCTGTGAAGCACCAGTTACTGCAGGGACAATGGCACCCAGACAGGCCTGCTCAAGAGTCCCAGCTGGGACCAACCCCTGCTGGGCTTGGCCTGCCAAACTTCTGCCGGCAACATGGGTATTACCTGCTGGGTCTGGAAACAGGCAAGACTGGTGTGCAGTCCATACTCACTCTGTACACGGTGCTGAGACCAGCTTAACCTCCACACCCAGGCACTCCAACGTCACCTTCACTTACCCTCGCCAAACCCTGGTGACCACTGTCATGCATCCCGCCAGACTGCTGACCGTCCCCACAGGGAGACAGCACCCTTCCGCCACCGCAGACACGACCAACAGCGTCCTTTGGTTAAGGCCCCCCGCACAAGGGTTGAGTCAGGAAACAACAATCTGCATTTTCCCTCTTGGACAGTCACAAACCGGCCTAGTCCTGGCAGAGGTGAGATACAGTCAGACGGAAGGTGGATGTCAGCATGGAAGTCTTGGCAGCTGCAGTCCTAGAGCCCTCACTGTCTTTGCTAGCACACCAAGTGCTGGAGCAGGAATCCCTAGGGCACGCTGAACTAGGCCCTGGTCCAAAGCCCACTGCTGTCAGAGGGAGTCTTGCCAGGGGGCCTTGGCCTAGGCTTGCCTTGCAGTGGTTCTGGCCTTTCCGTAAGCCAAAAACAGTGGGAACTTGCCTCCCCTGTCCCTCACTGCTCCCGATAACTGTCAGGATCCACAGGGGCTGCATGGGGAGTGCCCCAGCTTGGCCCAGCAGAAGAGAGAAAGGCAGCCCCACATCCCCCGGGGCACAGCAAGCTGCACCCACCGGCAACAAGGGGCAGAGAAGCCAACCCCAGTCAGTCCCATGCAGCACGCTGTGTCTCGTGATGGCCACAAACGGAGTGCCTGCGCAGCGTGAGAACACTCCCCATATCTCCTCCAGCAGCGCCCTGGACTCTCTGACACAGGGCCAAGAGCCTCGTTGCTGAGCAAGGCTTGTTCCAAGCCAGTCACAGCACAGCTTGTGACGGCATGTGCTGGGGCTGGCACCTAGCCAGCTGCAAAGCAAAACTACGTGAGAATCAAACCTCCCCGCAGAGATCCCAGTGTCTGGCTGGGCAAGGTTGGGGCGCACGCACCACTTCCTCAGGGCCCTCCAAGCCCACAGCTGGCTCCTGGCAGTGCTGCTGACAGTTTCACCTTCACCATTGTGTCTAGTGACCATCTGAAACGGGCTCAGAAAGGGCCCAAAGGGTTTCCAGCTAGCTCAGCATGTGGGGGGGGGGGGCAGGAATCCCTGAAAGGCTGTGTAGGAAAGGACGCAAACTCCCTGAGTCAGTTCCTCTGTGAGCAGGGAAGCAGGTTCTTCCTGTTATGTGATCTTCATATCCAGAGAACAGACCCCATGCTACCACAATACCAAACAGCTATACAGCACAGAGAGCTGGGCAGGCCGGGGGGGCAGAAGCCCAGGCACCATTAGCCCTGCACTGTAGAGTGGTGGTAAACACTATGTCTGCAGCTGGACTTGTATCACCAGCAAAGCCTCAGTCTGGGCCTCTGGGAACTGCCAGAATGTGCCTTGCACACCATGTGGGGTCTCCAGCCTACTGCTGTCAATCAAGGATCTCCTGCTAGGCCTCACTGCCTGCCAAACCCCTTAAATTTGCTCCCACATAATTTAGGTCATTTCCATCTGCAATGGCAGGAAATATCCTTTTTATGTTCCCAGGGCTGGACTTGGGGCTTCCTCTGGAGCCCTGACCTGCCTCGAGGCTCAGGACCCAGCCCACAGCCTTCACAGCCTTTCCATTGTCCCCTCTGGCTTGCCTGGTCTCAAGGCCTTGGTCACCTGCATGGAGAGCAGATGCTTACTGTCCACTGCAGCATTTCCAGACAATGCTGTGCAGGTTTGGGCTTAAAAAGGAGACCCCAGGCCTCTGGGAGCACCTTGCAGCCATAACCTGGCACTTTGGAACAACACTGCTAACCGTGGCACCAGGGCTTGGGGGCTGCTTGCCCTCAGAGGGGAGAAAGTTTCTAGCTGTGCACAAAATCACCAGTGTGACCAGTGCTGTAGCATAGAGGGATCTGCCCAGACCTGCTGGAACTAGGCTGGAGAGGTGTGACAGCCCTGCTCATTGCAGGGGGGAGAAGTGACTCAGATCAGGGTGGAGCATCCTCCTCCTTAACTATTTCACTGCTGATAAACCCACGCCAGAGGGGAGGGAGGGTCAGACCAGAAAAAACATGGGCCATGACATTCTGCACTGATGCGTCAAGTGCTGGTACTAGTATACACTGGCTGCTGCCACCCCCTCACATCTGACCCATGGAACTATGGAAGAAGGGGTGTGAGCTGGTTCCACAGACCTGCTGGGGCTTCTGGACCTCTTTCCCCACTAACTGGGCCCCCTCGTGAGCAGCAGGGCCTAGTAATCTGCAGGTAGGTGTGGGAGCAGGTGGCCCTTCCCAAGGCCCAGAGATTGCACGGCCAGAGATACTGCAGCATCCCCGCAAGAACTCAGAGCAGGGCAGGGTGGGGGTTTACTGGTTTCCTTTTTGGCTGAAGAGCATTACCTCTGCCCTGGGTGATTTTGCATCAGGCTTGCATCAATGTGGTTTACAACACTGCTTAACCCTTCCTTCCTGCTAGGAAGGCTGTGGATCTAGGACAGTCAGGTTAGTCTGCACTGAGCTGCTGGTTTGCCAGAGAAGAGCTACTGGTCCTGAGCAGCCCACGGTCACCCACACAGACACAGTAAAACTCTGCTGTGAACAGCTGACTGCAGTCACTGAAGGCCTAGATACCTGCCAGCTTAAGCCTACAGCTCCTCTTCATGCAATTCAGGGCAGAGCAGATCTGCCCCTGAAGCCACAGGTCCCATCTACCCTGGAGTCTCTAGTGTGCAAACGGCAGCTCTGTTCACCTCTGGCTCTTGCTACCAGTTTCCTTACCTAGTGGGAAACACACTGCTAACAGCAGACAAACCAAGTCTGCTGATTTATAATTCAGCTACAATCCAGCCAGGTTTAATTTCAAGTGTGGGTGGAATTAAAGCCACAGCACCACCTTGTGCAAAGCCCAACAACTCAGCCCCGAGGAAACTCCTCTCTCTCATGCCCTCAGGAAGCCAGGGTGCACAGCCCTGCAAGCTGGAGTGAAGCCCTGTGCATGTAAGCTGAAAGCACTGCCGCAGTGAGGAGTCTGGGAGAGGCAGCTCTCCTGGCCACACAATTTCCTTTCTGCTCACTGCTTGCCAGGCACTAAGCACAGCTTCTTCCCCACTTCCCCTTTGTGGCTGAATTTCAGCAGCGTGGGGGTTTGTACTGGGCTCACTGCCTGATCTCACAGCAAGGCACAGAGGTAGGTATAACCAGCATGAGGCTGTTAATGCAAGCTCTGGCTTCATATTAGAGCGCATGGACACAGGCGTGTAAGCTACACCGCAGGGACCATGGCTCTGTGCTGGGCACCCCTGTGGGGGCACCACACAGAAGCACTGCTTTCTCTCTCCAGTGCAAAGAAAAGGAACATGCCTCTTCGTTCCACCACGGTCAAGGGTTATCTGAGAGATGCCTGGTTATAAGACAAGCATGGGAATGCAGAACTTGCTTTGTGAACAGAACACACTTCATTAAGTTTAGTACCAACAACACTTTCAGAAGGCAAATAAAAATTCAAGTGCGGCATTTATGGCCATTAAGGAGGGAGCATCTAGGCTGTAGCCTCCTCGTACATGCCAACAGTCAACCAAACAAAACTACGGGCTGAAGTGATCTGGCTTCTTGTGCCTCAGAACTCAGCTGTGTAGAGTACCTCTGACAGCTTCTCACAACACAGTCATTTTGCACTTGGGAAGACTGTAATTTTACTTGTAACCATGATTACACACAGACTTGTGAACAATAGGACTTAAACTAAGCCCATGTGGGATAGCGGCAATGCTCTCTTCCCCACAGGAGAGCCTGGAACTGACCCCTAGCCTGTTTGGGCTAAGACCCCCAACAGAACTTCACCATTTCCCACCCTTCCTCTCCCATGACCCCAACACAGCAGCAGGCCAAATTTTGTGCAGGTCCAAGTTAAGGCAACAGAAATGGGATCACCTTAAGGTCAGGTGAATGCATCTCCTTAAATCCTATGTCAAGGGAAGTATGAGACTTAATTAGCCTCACCATCAAGCCAGAGAGTGGGCAATATTTTTAATCATGATCCATCTTCACAGAAAAATAACAGCCACCAAATGATCTTTTCGGTGCCTGCTTGCCTTCATTGGGGAAACAGCTGATGCAAATAGCAATTAAGGAGAAACAGGTTCCCTGACGTACATTAACCCTGTCAAAGGGCCTGGAATTCGCACCCTTCAGGTCCTATGGCTGTGGCCTGGCTAGATGATAATGCCTGACTGTTCCTGAGCTGGAGGCTCTTGGCAGCCAAGAAATGAGAAATAACAGCCTAGAAATAAGCACAGATTCCAGAGAACAGGGCACGGGAAGCCTTGCCCTTTGCAATTCACAGAATTCCTGCTGTCCCAGAAGGAAGGATTTACAGCTGGCATCACCACGCTGTCAGCAGGAGGGCAGAAGTACCACTCGGTGGCCAGCGGAAGCAGCTTGCCACAGGCTTGCTACACTAGTGTTTCCCCTCCATGATCACACAGAGGCCTAAAAGCTCTTCATTTTCATTATTTCTTTAAAGTAACTTCTTAACCCTCTACGACAGGCTAACACAGAAACTCCCCCCAAGCCATCTTGGAGGGACGTTGGCTAGCAGCTGGAATTTCAACCAGCAGCAAGATAATGATCTGGGACTTATACCCCCATCTCATTTTGCTTTTACTCAGGAGATTCTTTACCTCATCCCACAGAAACCCTGATACCAAGATCTGTCCTGCGCAGCTCATGTCCCCTACTGCTCATATGAAAATGGGCAGGGACTATTCCAACCCCCTCTGCCCTGAAATGACATCAGGTTTGCATGGAAGGTGCAATGAGTACAGAACATGTTCCTGTGATCAAATGTGCTAGTCTGAGTGCCAGTCTGGAGCCCTGAACGATGCACAGGGTCACAGCCTGTTACTTAGAATCTACCCCCAAACACTGAGGCCAATAACAACAAGATAAACATGTTCATAAATGAGGTATGTAGAGACTGCTGCTCAATGCCCCCTTACCCTTCTAAAGGAAATGAAACATTCAAAAGCCACCCTGTCAACAGACTGCAAAAGGCAGACATGATGACAGGACTCTGTATGCCACATGACATAGCTAAACAGCTGGCGCTAACGGGCAGGCCATTTCTTAGGGCCCTTCTCCCCTCCTGAAGTATTTTTCCACCAGCTGGTAAAAGCTCTGTGCGGAATATTGCTTGAGCGTATTTAATGGCACGAGCGAATACTCTTCTGCAAGGCTACGTGTAACTTGTTTGCTGGACACAGATGACAAGCTGGGCAGGCTGCTACTGTCACCACCTGCCTCTAGGGGAAGAAATTCCTCTCCCTTTGAGGAGGGTGAACTCTGCTCGTAAGAGGGAGTATCTGCCTTCTGAGCAGGTACAAACTGTAAAGGGGCATAGTATACCCGCCTAGGTGGGCATGGGGTATCATGGCACAAAGGAGTGTCAGGCTCCTTGTTCAACAAAGTCCCCTCAGTCTCAGTGTTCTTGGATAAAGGACTCCCATGCGACTCTACTAAGCCCGATTTCCCTTCTTTGACACGGGTGCCTAATGGTCTTACCAGCTGTTCTTTGGCAGGTGCTGATGTAGGAGACTGTGCTGAGAGAAGCTGTCCCTGGGCACCGTCACTGCTGCAAGCCTCTTCCATTTCCTTTCTTTCCATGCAGCACCAAGGGCAGCAAATGCAATCTCCCAGACAACCTGCAGCAGGCCTCCCAATTGGCTCAGAATTTTGCTGGTAAACTTCCATATCCCCAGAGGTCTTCAACTTGTGACTCTGCACAGCTCCTGAGCTCTTGGATGTGTCAGGGCATTCCTTTAGGGACTCGAAGATGACCCCTCGCGGCCCAGGTTGCTGTGTAGGTACAGTCATTTTCAGCAGCTGCCTAAATCTTTCCTCTCTCCTGTTATTTGTCAGTGGTGTGACATCCTGCCAAAGCTCTGGGATGCTAGGGACAGGAAAAACCTTGCGGTTAGGGTTCAGGTACTTCTCCAAGTAAGCTTGACACGCATGGCTCTTGACTATCGGGATGATCGAGCAGGGTTTCAGCCACTGGACAAATTCACACAGCTCAGAGAAGGATGAGTGGTCAGAATAGGGAATAATGTGCATATTGGGATGGGTCTTCTTCAGCGGGCGCCCAGTGGGGAGAATGGCAATTGTGGGGCGCTGCTGGTTCCAGTAGCACACGGTCTTCCAGTGGATTTCTGAGGGCTCCACCACATGGATCCAGCCAGAATCTTCCCAAGTGGTGAACGGATGGTGTTTATCCAACAGCTCCAACACAGTCAGCCTCTCGGGGCTCACCACGATCCATGTGTTAAACTTCAGGGACAACTCAGTTAGGAGCGATTCCTTCCCCAAAGTGTAGATACCTGGCAAAGAACAAACAGAACAGCTTAGCAACTTTCAGAGACTCAGAAGTATTTTGTCAAGGCAAAGACAGTGCCTGGGGAAGGTGACTGGGGAAGGGAGAAAATAGCTGTAAGACTCCAGAGAAAGGTGCCTACCCACAAGGGGAAATTAGAGAGAGAGAGCACGCACAAGACAACACAGGCAATGTCCTGAAGAACTGAAGTGTACTTTGTGTGAAGAGGAAGAAAAACAATTGCTCTCTGCCCCTCCAAAAACTTCAAGATTATTCCACGGCCCCACACCTGCAGCACTTCAGACACCAGAAGTGAAGCGGACTCAAATCTGCACTCTGATTAGCAGAAATACACATGGTTTGCATCATCCAGGCCAATGAATGCACAAGCCAGACACAGCGAAGGGCACAACCCAGCTATCCCTCACACAATATCATCTGGTCCTGGTCAGGCATTTACCACAACTCCAATTGAGACACTGGCTGCAGCTCACACCCTGCCACATGCCAAGCTATCAAAAAGTCTAGCTCACCAATCTTGACTTGGTACTTAGGGTGGGCCTTGATCAGCTCTTTTATCTGCTCGGTGGCCTGCTCCCTGGAAGGTAGGACCAGCGCCGGGTCACAGTTTGTGTTGTCCAAGTAAAGAACATCAATTTGTTTTTGGTTCATTAGGACTGGTTCCTTCAGCATGGCCGGAGTGTAGCGAAAGTCACCTGGCAAGAAGCAAAGCAGCACTAGTTTGCAGGGCAGAAACACAAGATCTGGGGACGCCAGGAGCAACAGGGGCCCACCTAGCGGTTACTGCTCCACATTGCAGGTTCCGAAACTCAGAGGAGGTCCCCAGCTTCCAGGCCACAGAAGCAGAAGCCCGATTGCTTGGGTGCTTTTTTCTGGGACATCACCAAAGCGATGTGGGTTGAACTCCTGGTGAGAGACTCACATTTCTACAAGGGACAGTGGTGTCAGGCCTAGCAGCCACTGGCAAAGGTGCAGGCCTGGAGCGTGCAGCGAAGGCAGGAAGTGTCATTAAAGGGGTGGGGGGGGGGAACGGGACTCGTGGCCACCAGGTGTGGTAAAAGCTGACTGTGCAGCCAGGTTCACAAAGGGGCTGGACACCTTGGAGGAAAGGGGCCTCAGTGGCCATTGAGCAGGTGACCGAGGGGCGCAGCCTCCTCTTCAGACCACATCTGGCCTTTCACAACACGCTGCGTGAAACAGAGATTCCTGGGATTGGCTTTAAATGGATGACCAGCTTGGCACATTTCATGCGGCAGCCCCTCCTCCTGGGGAGAGAGTCTATGACCAACCCCTGTGGACTTTCTCTTTGCCATTTTCTGCATCATAAACCTTTCT